TCTGCACAGCTGAACCTCTGCTCAGGCACATGTATTCATGGCAGCGTATGTAGGCTGGTCGCATATCTGCAATACATTGCTGTATACAAGCAATTCTCACATGTGGGTGTTTAGCAATGTGCTGCCACTTATCCCTGTGTCTCCTGCAGTGCGTATGCTATTGTATGTGTAAGTGTTGCAATGGGACTCAACCAGCACCTACAGATGTATGAGGGCTCTGAAAAACACATTACATAATAACATTGGAAGACTTTTGTTCCGTTGATATGCCATAGGGGCAAGCGGTCAACTTGGACAAATTCTATCAAACCATTTGATTTGATAGAAGTTATATGTATACATTTTGCATATTGTTTTAGTCTTATGTTTTGGTATATTCACAAGAAAAAATGTCAAATTTGGGCTTCTATCACTAATAGGGTAGTTGTGTAAAGTAGTTGCGTTTATTCATGCATATGTTGTTGTTCAATTCCAGATGTTTTGTTGCCAAACTTGAGATTGTAAATTGCTGCTTGTTACCATATAAAATGGTCTTTTTATTAAAAGTGTTTACGTAATAAATATTCATTAAAATGTTGTTTTTATCGACCTGGTAGAAACTGATTCAAAGTGTATTTCATATGTATGTACTTAACTGCATAAAATTACACTAATATTCCTTGTATGTAAGGTGGAGGCATATTTGAATAGTTACCATGGAAACGGTGCACTGCTGTCATATTCAGGATAGGCCCATCTCTGCTCAGTGTCTAATGTTCTAGTAAGCTCAAATTCTTTCTCTTTTTTTGGCGCCGCTTCAGCCGCTGAATGCTTTATAAAAATAGCATTTTCTCTAGACCAGAAGATATCTTTGTAAATCCCTTTTTAAAAATGACAAATTCATATCTCTTTAGATGCAACAAAAAGGGAATGAGAAATACAAGCTAAACGCTTTTTTGCTCTTATCTCTCACTTTTAAGTAACAATACTTTAGTTTCTCTTTCATGGCTTGATTAGACTTCGCCGTTTCAACTCATTGACTTTACATCTCAATAGTTTTCATTGCAATTATTTGTTACTTTGGAGGCTCCTGCTAATCATTTCATCTTTCTTCAGCTGGTATCGCTCCCCACACCTCCCTCCGTTGGGTTTCTTTTTGCTGTTCCTTCTCCACCTCCATCTCTTTTGTGTGTCTCTATTTATTCCCTGCCTACTCTCTCTCTGCTCTCCACGCTGCTTCCTCCCACTCGCTTCCTCCTTATCCTGTCTATCTCTCGCTTTTCCATGCAGCCCTGGTGTCCTTATGGAGAATTCAACGTATTTAGAATGTGCATGTGGGACAAACAGAGGCTAATTAGATGTTTTACCCAAAAAAAAAAAAAAATGGTTTCATGTGCAGGTTTTAGGGCAGATCATTCCTGCTCTGGTTTTATAGTGTTTAGATTTTCATTTGGTTTTCTTCTCCACAACACATTGTCATTCCACCACCTGCTTGTCTTCATAATGCATCATGCTATTGCTTTGCCCGGAATGTACCTTAAACTGGGATTAAACTTTTCAATCTTCATGGAGAAAAATACACCGAGGGTACAGGGTGTGGAGAGGCGACGAGCTCGCTGGAAGTTAAAATGCAGGTTTTCCACAGTTTGGAATGTTAAAGCCCATATCATGAATATATTCCTTGAAGATTTGTTTCTACGCCAATGGCATACAGTGGAACATTCAGGAAAAACAGCAACACCCTCATCTCCATGGAGACACGCCGGCAACAGAGCAGTACATGGTGCGCTCTAAGCCGAGACACTTTTTATATAATTCCTGAAGACCTTCGCTATATTCACAACATTAACATGAACATCTTTTCATTAAGATACTTGCTTTTATCAACTGTTAAACTTGCCTTGAGTTATGCTCCGGCACACTTGTAAGCGCTGTGTCTTACTTAAGAGCGCAAACTTCAAAGAAAGCACAAAACTAACGTGAGAATGGAGGCTAAGGATTTGCCTCTGGTTTCAAGTTAAATTGGGATACAGCTCAGTTCTCCCTGACAGATGTACAAACTTACTCTGTGCTTTTACTACATTTAGAATTAGAAAAACATGGGGAAGAGGGAATTCATGCATCATTTTGCTTTCACTTCACAATTACTATATTTGTTTGTGGCTGTGACATTAAATATACTTTTTCAAGACACTGTATATTGCCAATCTTTACTGTTGAGATGATTTACTTCAAAAAGGAATAGCAGCAGTTATATAGTAAGTTACTGCCACCACTCTTACGTACGTTCACAGACATTTGAATACACAGACAGGCCAACGTTCATGTTTACAGACGAGCAGTTACAGACATCAATCAGCCGTTTGTCAACACATTTTTGTAATGTTGCTTTTTTCTGGTTGCATTGGAACTTCACTGACGTACTGCTTTATCGCTGGTATGAAAGTGGCTCAGTTGGTAGAGCACTGGCTTTTGAGCCTGAAGGTTGTGGGTTCACCCACTGATGTCTGATGTCATTGTTTCCTTAACCCCACTTTGCCTGAAGCCCCTGCTGAAATTTCAAACCTGCCGTCACTAACAGAAACCATCCTCCTGTGGACTCAGGAGGATCAGTGAGGGGCGTGTGCTCTGTGAATTGGGTGGCAGCTGATTGTCACCCCCCTGACTCAGAAATGGATTAAGGGGTAGAAAATGGATGGATAGATACTGCTTTAACAGAGAAAATGATTCTTCTTCTTTAGAGTGTGGTTCAATGATGCTGGGCATGTGACTGGGTAGCAGACAATATCATGTGTGCAATTTATGCAGTATCTGCAGTGTCTAACACAAAGCTGTTCCATCCATCCATTTTCTTCCCCTTCATCCATTTCTGGGTCGGGGGGGTGGCAGTCAGAGCTGCACCCAGTACACATAGCACCAGCCCCTCACTGATCCTCCTGCAGGTGGTGAGTCCACAGGAGCTACACAAAGCTGTTATCAATACTTAAGACCAGCAAAGAGCGGAGTTGAACAACCTAATACAAAACACTGATCAATCGCTGAATATATATTTTGAATGAAGAGAACTGAGTGACCAGGTCTGTGTGTAATGGTCACTTGAAGTCCCTGAATCTTCCTGTCAATCTGTCAAAAACGGGCCCAGTGCTGCCTCAACTTTGGCAAATCACATACACACACACACACACACCCACACCCACACCCACACACACGCACACACGCACACGCACGCACGCACACATACACACATGTCACGCACGTATACACACGCATATATACATACACGCATAATGGATATCCGCAAGTACACACACCGCACACACACACATACGCTCGCTGCCTCTCTTTGATGTGTGCCACAGGGTTCCTCAGAGGAAGGAGCAGCGCAGTGTAATGGATGTGGCGCTGTCACTACTGCATTGGAGCTTATATCGGCTCGGCAGAATGTAGTTTGATAAAGCGGAGAATGTAAGCGCTCTGCAGTGAGACATTTACCCAAATGTTTCTTTAATGTTACACAATGAGACATTTACTCAAACATGAACAATATTGATAATCATTTCATTTTTACCCTGTGTACTTATATCATACGTACATAAAATTGCAGATTATGTTCGCCACAATCTTTGCTCTGTAGATATATTTTGGAAAAGCTCTTGACTTTTATGGCCCCAATATTATCATATTATCCTAGGTTTACTTCTGAAGACGAGCTAAACCCACTCCAATATAAGTTCAGCAAAGCAAAAAAGTTTACTATCCACGTAATATTTAAGCCAAACTGTCCACGTAAATATGTGAAAGCCTTACTCCAGGCAGTGCGGAGCCTTTCTCAGTGCAGTTTGCATATTCTCCCTGTGTCTGCATGTTTCCTGCTGTTGCTCAGGTTTCCTCTACCACTAAAACATGTACAATGGCGCTATGAAAAATCTCACCATGGTCTAAATTCCTGAGCATTTACTTCAGTAGCTGTGGGGAGATTGTGCACCACAGAAAGCAGAGGGGGACAGCGGGGAGGCAGTGGTCCTCTGTAGGAGATACAGACGGAGGCACTGTGCAGACCATAGTGCAGACGCAGCCCACACACAGAGACGCTGGTGGGAGCGGGTGGATTTAGTCTAAGCATGTTTTTTAAAAAGATTTAATTTTTTGGGATCTTGCACATGTTGCACACAAACTGATGAAGACATGAAATGCATTAATGCGCTATACATCATCAGAGTGCCTCGTATCTTCAACTCAGACGCCAACAAATTAATGACCCCAATGTCAATTTAAAGACAATAGAAGATAGAGAGATGTTTTTCAAATGAAGGCACCAGTAGGACCCGCCCCCCTCCACAGGTTCTTGATTGAATCCAATGAATTCGGTGGTCTAACTATTCTCCACCAGCAAATCTAACTGATGATAATTATTCCAAGGGGAGGGACTGTTTTAAATCTATGTATTCTGAAAGATATTTAATACAGATCATTCTACAGGGTCAATTGTATGTATTCTTTTCAAAAATAAATACAATTGAAGTTGCATTCATCACCACTTAACTTTTCCAACACAAGTAATTATTAATTTGCAAATGTTTCAGTGTCATTGACTTTGAACTGGAATCGTGCATAATTCTGAAAGATTAGACATGATAATTCTTGATGAGGAGTTACCTAATTTCTCCTCCTTGTGAGATAAATAAAGAATATCTTATCTTATCTTATTTGAGACATATTTTAATTTAGTTGCAGAACAGGGTCTTTCTGTGTGGAGTTTGCATGATCTCCCCATGTCTGCGTAGGTTTCCTCCAGGTGCTTCGGTTTCCACTACCACTAAAAACACGTATGATAGGTCTGGCATGTGTCTCCTGCGACTTCACTTTTGTGACTCTGGTCTGTGAAAGGCGCTATATAAACAAAGATTACTTACTTTAATCTAATAAGAATGAATCATGCCTCTGCGCCTTTTATGAAATGCCATTCCTAAACCGCTCTTCTGTGTTTCTGTCTTTAGGGACGGCTTCCACACTCTTCCACGATGCTTGCCGGCCTCCACTTACCCCTTCAAGACAAGCGCCCGGAATGTTCCCCAGGCCGCTCCTCACCGTCTCCTCTTCACCGGCAGAGATGCTGGAGGAACCCGCCCCTCCTCTCTCTGTTCATCTCTGTTCTCCTGGTGTGCGCTCTCCTACTGCCTGTCTGCCACTGCCGTCGGGCTGGAGGTTCAGGACCCGGTGGTGGTGGGGCTCACACAGGACAAGGGGGCCAGAGAGGAGGCCCAAATCAGAGAGGAGTGGTCATCCCGCCTCCTTTCTCTCCAGGCGTCGCACCGATGCCACCAATCAACCCCAAACTCATCAACTCGCTCAGCATCGCCGTCATCCTGGTGGGCAACTCTAGTGATGTAGCGTTAGGGGCCGGGCTTGAAAAAGAGGACTTCCTTCACATTCCTTTTCCTCCCAAAGTGGAAGTGGTCACAATGAATGAAACTGACCCCAAAAGCATCATAAACAGGATCTGTGCTCAAATGGCGAGGAATTCGTTACAAGGCGTAGTGTTTGGGGATGACACGGACCAGGAGGCCATTGCGCAGATCCTGGACTTCATCTCCGCACAAACACACATCCCCATACTTGGCATCAGGGGCGGCTCGGCGATGGTCATGGCAGCTAAGGTAAGAAAAGTTATTATGTTTCAGATTTATTCATTCCCCTTTTACACTTCATTCACTATGGAATAGGACTTAAGGTAAAAAATAACAAAAAACAGTAAGGATATTTTTTAGGACTTCTATTTCATATGTGTACGGCTTTTGTATCAAGGGGGTTTACGTGAATATGGCAGTATAATAGTAAAGTATAGTACATAATATAAACTCTTCCACCTATACACTGGAATCTAATTATTAAGAGAAAGGATATCAATTATTTAGTGATTTTTTTGTTGAGAATTCTTATTTGTACTTACCGATGTGCTGTAATTTAGTCTGAGAAGAGTGATTGTACATTGTGGTTATGGTGCGCTCTCACCCAGTATGTGTGGACAGGGCCTTTGTGCGGTTTGAGCGAGATCCTTTGTGCATCTCAGACCCCACTAACATCATTCACAATGGAGTCTGCTCTGCACTTCCCTGTTTACATAAATACTAAATAGGCTATATTTCAACAGATATTAGATGTAATACAGTGTGATGGGAAATGGTTTCTCAACGAAGATTAACACTCTCTAAGGTAGGTCGAGTACGCAGCTCACTGAAAATTTTTCCAGTGCAAGGTATAATGCAAAATACATGACCAAGTCAAAACATTTTATGGACTTGAATAAAAGCAGGAAGAGAAATGGTCTCATTGGACCATTTTATACATTTGGTGTTATTTATAGTTAGTTATTGTTGCTTTAAGGACAGAATAGGTCATTTTCACCCTGCCACTAGTTAGACCAACGTCACTACTTAGCCGACAAGCGTTTGATCAGACGAGCATGGATGAATTTAAATTTAAGTGTTGAATACTAATACGCAGTTAAAGGCCACTCTGAGACTTGGGACCTGGTGTATGTAACGTGCATACTTGTTTTATTCTGGGATGATCTAACATAATACATGTTTGTATAAGGGTAGTAACGAGCATTAGATGTCACGACTTCTGTGGGTGTGAGGGTTTACATACATGCTGCATAATCACCACGTGTGGCAGACAGTCACTGAGGCTCAGAGCACCAGCAGCACAGATGAAACACAAATGAAAGTGGTGCACTGGGAGCGCACACGACAGACGCTGAAAGACGGTTAGGCGCTCAACACCATCTTTTCTTCTGTTCTTACTGATTACATCCATCCTCCTCAAAACTTTGAGTCTTTGTCCGTTTGATTGTTCCCACTGAGGCACAAGAAGCAGACGTGACTGCAGAAGGTTGGGTTGGCATGGCAACCACAGATCTAGGCTTAATTTGATCACATTATTGTAAACTAAACCTCAGCTATGGTTGGACAACATTAAATACATAATTCAAATCACAATTATCCTTTCAACGCAAACCAAGTTATAAGGAACAGATCTTGATTTGAATTTTAGCATCATTTCACCAGAATACATACATTATACCTCCTAAAGGCATAAGATGTAAAATATATTATTTAGGACGTAAACGATCATTTTTACATCTTAAAGATTATATTCTTGTTGGCAGTTACTATTTTACACCTTTCACTAAGCCTTATTCAAGTAAAATTGCTGAAGGAACTGACTTCCAAAGAGAGAATCTTAGGCAAGAGCTTTCTGAATAAAAAGGGTTTTGCAGCACATCTGCCGGAGCTCTCGTCTTCATGAACAAGAATAGATTTTTTTTTTATCAATAACTCAATTCCCTTCAGGTTTCTGAGTCCATGTACTATCAGTTGGCAATTATACCAAATCCATTGTGCACTCCAGCCTATCTACTTGGCTAGTATATCAAGCTAACCACTTTCTTCATATCATTTAGCAATTACATTTCTATTTAAAGCTACATTGAACATATTTGTGGTAATCTGTCATATTTTCTCATGCCTAACACGCTGCCTCATGGGCACAATGACTTTTCCTTTAATTTCATGTTCATTTTTGTTCCAATTCAAGCATGTGTTGCTATTGGCAGGATAGGAGCAGAGTTGGCCATCACCTTTATCTCTGGCTCCAGAGACTAAAAGGGTCTTCCAGATCCATTGTCTGGGCTTTAGCTGTGTATGTGTCAGTGTGCTGCCGTTCGATGCTAATGCATCTTTTGCCAGTGTTTGAAGAGATTACAACAGTTGTTTTACAAGGTACAAATAAATAAACGGTGTTCCTTTGGCAATAATATTCATAAGTATAGTTTTTAACGTTCAGAAAGGTGTAGCCAGATACAGCAACTTGCGTGAGTACTTATACAAGTTGAACTTTTGCACATTAAGTCATGTTTATGACCACAAACACAAAGAATATGTTTTTCTGAAATACCCTAATAGTTTCTGGAACTGACTGTAGATAAAGGTGAAGGATAACACTGCTATCAGGGGGCGACAGTGGGAGAGACCTACTTCACGACTCCCACTCATGTCTCCTGTCGTTGTGTCCTTGGGCAAGACACTTTGCCTGAAGCTCCCACTGAAAGATCAAGGCTCCTGTGGACTCACCACCTGCAGGAGGATCAGTGAGGGGCTGGTGCTCTGTGTACTGGGTCCAGCTCTGACTGCCACCCCCCGACCCAGAAATGGATTAAGGGGAAGAAGATGGATGGATGGAAATAGAATTAAATCTAATGTGGTAGTGCACAGATGACCTAGTGCCATGCTCATTCTAGTCCTGTTCTGTATTTTGAGTCCGAAACATGATAAGACTAATCAGTTTTTGTCTATTAACCTTTTATTTATTCATTATGAGGGGAATAAGGAAAAACAAGGACAATGAAAAGGAATTGCCTCTGTAAAGAAAATTATCAACCTGAAATTATTTATTCTTAGCACCTACCTATCATAATAAAAATAGGTTGCTCATTATCACTTCTGACATGGTAAAAAAGGCATGGTACAATAGTCGTTCAGTAAAACTAATTCCTTCCTGTTTGAGCTCAGATTGTCTCTTCTCCTGCAGGAGGCAGATACTGCGCAGTCAGGCTGTGATAGATGTGTCTATTTATCTCCCTTTCTTCATGTTTAACCCTTTGAAATCAAACAGATCCAGACAGATACAAAGAGCATTTTTAAATCTCTACTCTCCAACATGGTGTGCCATCCTTATTATTTACCAAAGGCAGCAGCAGCAGCAGCAGAAGTAGAAGAAGGCTTTTTTTTCCCGGGGCTAGAGTCACTCTAATCTGCAATGTCATGAAACGCAAGGCTTCAAGCATCTTCTCTGACAGCTGTCAGAAAACAACACACTCTGACAACATCCTTGGTTTGTTTTAATAGTCGTTTGTTTTTTAATGTTATGAAGCTAGATTTACTTTTATCCAACATGAGTTAGTTCAAAAGAAAAAACTGCACATGTATTTTCTGGTGGGGATGAACAATAATCCCACAATAAAACCATTTTACAAAGATACTATCTGATGTAGTTGAAAAAAAACAAAAATGTGTTTAGAACTGAATTTAAAAAACTACCTGTATCACCTGGTGAATATGAAGGTGGTCATATTATATGAGAGGATTTTAAAAGAAGGCTCAGATAAATATATGTGTGAAGATACGCCATGCATTTGTTTAACTCTTTTTACCCCCAATTCTGCCCACACCCTCTGAATCTAAACCACATCTAAACTGCTTTTTCTCATCATGTTTCCCTTTTTCCCACAATCTACCATGAGGTTAAGGTTGAGATAAGTGTTAGACATCTCCAGCGCCTTGCTTAAAAAGTATTTTTATCTTCCAATCTCAGCCTTCTCTCTCCGCTCGACTCTGAATAGTGGTTTTCCTCAAATAAAACATGGTGAGCGGTCTTTTTTAATTTCTTTTGTAAGTTGTAACGGTTCCCTTCAGTTGCTTCTTTATTTCTATAATGAGTTTTATTGGTGATGGGGTCAAGTCATTTTGTGAGATCTGGAGACTCCTCTGCATTGCATTTGGTTGCAACAGAATGTCAGAAAGCTCTGGGAGCCACAGTCCTCTCCTTTTACCTTAAGCTTACACTGTATGAGGCCTAATTATTATAGACTACACAATGCTCTCCCGGCTGCTATATACTGTTATTATACGGCTCCTCACAGTAGCAGTAGAACGCTGCATTGATTTCAATGTAATTTCAAAACGTTCTACATTCTTGATAACGGACCTCTCAAACCAATAATGGCCGCTGTCAATGGCAACGCAAATTTGGGCTTGTAATTGACGTGTGTCAGATCACTTGCAAATAGTCCGGCCACTTCGTCAATGAGCTTCTGGAAATGGATAACGCTAGAATTTTGTTGCTAGCAAGCTCTATTTCCAGAGGGGCTTGTCACGACTGTCTCTGCGAGAAAAGCTGGGGAATCGCTCCTGAGGTTCGAGAGAGCTTACTCAGAGATACACCACCATTGCTCATCTCCAACTGCACCTTCAACGGGAACGTCCAGTTTATTATAAATACGGTGAGTAGCTAGTAACAGGGAACTATGGGAAATATTTTATTTGCAGTCATTAAATAAACATTTCGGAATTCATAAAAGTGGACTGAAGTTTATTTCAGTTGGCAGATAGCCTTATAATTAGTGGAATAATGTACAGAATACAGGTCATTATTGGAAAATGTCGGGACTCTGCATTCTATACATTATCCCTTACACAATCTTTGACAGATGGGGCTAATTAGTCTTTATTTAGTCCATTTGAAATCCCAAAGTGGGATTAAAGCAATGTAAATTAAATTGGTTATGTTCGGTCAGATCTGTGCTCTGCGCCTGTGAACAGTGAAACTTGTTATGTCTATTTCACATGCTTTGTCCACAAAAGTTACTTCAAGAAATAAAAAATGTAATGAACATTCAATGTATTAGTATCTTGTGCAATCCCAATATGATTCGAAACATTTGCATTAAAACTTAAAATTCACTTCATCTAAACCAAAACCATTAAATGTCTCACTATGGATTCAAGTTACAACATAGAAATGATGCTCTGCTGCAGCTTGTGTCCATGTTAGTTAGAGAGTAGTGACCATAGAACTCTATATGATAGATTCTAGAAAAATGTCAAAAATTAAAATGTCCACTTCTTCAACCTTTTATGAGAAAAATAATTAGATTTTTCTTTGTGTGTGTGTGGATTGGCCCCGGAATTGGACAAATCATCTATAAAACTAAGAATAAAAATCATTCATTCATAGTTTCGAAGTAAATGCAACCCAAATTAAAAATAACTCTTCTCTCCAAACATATTAGCTCGTATGTAGCCTATTTTCACCTTTTGAAAACCAAACATGTTTCGGGGGTTGAATGACAGGTGCTTATCCCTTTTATAGCAAGCCATTTACGATGCTGAGTGATGGACTGCTGCTTTGTGTTGCCTCCTCATGTGCCAATCAGAGGAGCTGTCGGAGCTGGTTAGAAGCTACACGCCTGGGGCTCCATGTAATAAAACATTGCTGTCTTCCAACATTGACAAATTTCACATACTAATAATAATGCAAACATTTTGGTTAGCTATGTGGCTTAGCTTTTTTGATTTCTTTATTGTTAGGTTAGTGACCGCATTATTTCCGCTATTTTTCATGCATTTCTTGTAGTAATTAGACCCTCCAGCGTGAAGGACTATTGTTATGCATGAATTCTGGCTTCAATGCTTTACATTCTTGCAGAAAATATCAGCCACAATTAAATAAAAGATTCAGTGATAAGAGCAGGAGCGCCAAGAATGTCACTTCATGCGGTGGTTTTCAGGGTTTTGCGTCAGGCTGAACTTGGGCTTTTAAATATAGAGGGGGCGGCAGTGACTGGATATTTAATCCCAAACAAGCCGAAAGGTTGAGTTTGTGCTAATTGCATGGAGCAGCGGAGGGCAGTCATTTACATTCATCAGCGGGACTCCATTTGTTGAGACTGAGATAAGGGAAGGCAGAGAGGAGAGCCAAGGTTCAATCAGACAGTTGGGGTGGATTTGAAGTTTCAATGGCCCAATTACTCCCCCTGACGAAACGAGAGCGACGGAAAATGAGGAATTGAGAAAAACAATGGAAGAAGTCTGACATTGTTCATGCTACTGCTCACTATTACCCATATGTTTTTCTCCAATCGCAGAAGTTATATTCAGTCACATACAAAGTCATTGTCATTGTCTGGCAGAGAGAAGTTCTTGACTTTTTTA